GGGGGGGGGGTAGGCAGTCCATGCCGTTAAGAGGCTCTAAGCCCATTAGTCGATCTCGTCCTTGCTGAGGAGAGAGAGCTCTGACTTACTATCAGAGACTTGGTAGGGAGGAGGTGGAGGAGGAGGGGGGGGGGTTCAGACAGAAACCCATTCAGACAATCAGACCGGAAACAATCAGGTTGTAAAAGTTCCAAAAGGTCTTTAAAGTATTAAGTAATCTATAAACAGTCTGATTAGATCTTAATTTGATGTGCAGCGAGGCCTTGAACTGATCATTTTTTACTTTGCTAAGCTTTTTGTTTTTTGAAGCTACAAACAGAAAACCCAAACATAACATAAGTTGTGATGGGCTGTAGTTTTCCTATTTGGCATATTTACATAATTTGTCCAGGATGTAAAAACCACTGTGACGAGAAAATACTGTGTCGACGGCCAGGATTCAGACTTCTACCTCGTCTTGCTGCTCAGGAGGTTTTGGTCACGAATCCGCCACGAAGAGCCCGACACTCGGCTCATCCGGATTAGAAACTTACCCCAGAAGACGGATAAAGCTACGGCTACCTTCAGCCCGCTCTGTGTCCAGTCAAGAAAAGCGTTTGGGGAGTTTTCAAGGCATGGAAGAAGGATGGCGGTGTGTTTTTCGTCCCGTGTGTCTGCGCCGGAGTGACTCACACTGTGTTCCTCAAAACACATACCACGAGAAGGGATAAATAGAAGCGCTGTGAGTACGGGCCTGAAATTGAATGCACATGAATGGTGATAAACAGCCTGACATTGAGTTATTCTGGAGGACGGAGGGTAAACAAGATGATTGTGTTTCAGCCGGACTTTGTAGACGACTTGAAGTGTGAAATCGAGTTAAGTGCTCAGGAGGAAGGGGTTCCAGGCTGAAATAAAAATATATACTCGTGCGTCCCTCTGACATGAGGACGGATGTTTGGTGGGGTTGGATCGCTGCTCGGATGGAGGCTGGAAAGGGGGTGTGCGTTAGCCCAGGGGGGATGAGTGCAAGGCGTCGGTGGAAAGTAAGAGAAACGCTCGCAGGCACGCAACATCTTCAACATCTGCGGCGCACGGACGCTCCGTGATACAAACGATCTGACAAAAAAGAGAAGAAGAAAAAAAAAGAAGGTGGTGTATTTCCACATTTCCTTTGCCCTCCGAGAGAGAAATGTTTGGTGGCTCTGCTCCACTCTATCTCCCTCTCTGGGGGATGTTAAGCTTGATACCCATTTCAAGTGGGTTACTCATGTCCAGCACATCCACACAAAGAGCCCGGATAAAATAAACACGGTGCGTCGGATATCTTGGAAAGAATCTGTCATGGGTTTGGGGCTAATCACCTCCAGAAGGAGGGCTTGACTCAAAGCCTGAAACGTTAGCCCCTGTCGGGGAGCGCTGGATGGGCCGGGCCGGGCCGGCTAGTCCTCCTCGGGCACTGGGGATGGATCCGGAGGAGGGGGTGCCTCCCACAGGTCAGGACCAGGGGAGCAGGAAAAAGGGGAGATTGGCCCCCCGTGTACCGGAGCCGCCAACTCATGGTCACGGGGAGGGTCTCTTCCGCCACCGAGCTGGTTAGAGTTCTACCTTTTGCAGTATCCCTCTCGGGTTGAATATATAAAAGAAACAACAAGGAGCATTGAGCAGAGGATGGGAGGCCGATGTCCCAACAACGGACCCCCCCCCCCCTCTATCAGCGGCTTCACCTCATTGCTCAACAAAACACCAGAGACGTGACTGGAGAGGAGCGATAAGAATATTGGAAAGAAACGTTGTTGTAATGGAGCGGTCATCGACAGTTGGCCGAGAGGTTATTCACTGGACATCACACACACCTGAAGGTCACGGTAAACACGTGGTAAGAAAAACATACCCAAAGCTCAGCTTCAGTACCTCGGTACAAACAGTTACTAGGGGGGCAGCTGTCATTGCTCCAAACGTCACGAGACGTCCGTCCATCGACTATGAAGAAAGTTTCTTATACGTTAATATGATTTCCCGAGTCGTTGCTCCTTCTCCGGCGGCACAGCGGGGAATCGGTTCGAAGGGAAACGAGGCGACTCCTTCACACGTGGTCGACGAACAAATCACCAAATCGATCCGCCCAACAGACAAAGTGTAATAACACAAACAAACACAACTTTGAATGCTGAGATTCTCCCCCGCTGACTGACTGCGGGGTAATTCATGGGAGCCCTTTCTCTGACTGCAGGATGACCGCCGGGGACCCCGGATCTCTCTGGATGGGAGGCCTTGACCCTGGTAGATGAGGGGGGGAAGAGAGGAAAGACGGAGACAGGCATGATAAAAGCCCCCCCCCCTCCCTCCCTCCCTCCCTCCAGCTCTTTCCTCCCTTTAAAGTCTGGCTGTGGACGTCACAATGTCAAATCGTCTCTCCACCTCGGGGCAGGGCAGGAGGCCACAGCAGGAAGTTCTCCTCTCCTCCGACCATCAAACGGCTTCACACCAAAGGCAACCTGCGAACTCTGTTGAGGATGTTTTTTTATACCCGTAACGATTAAGTTTAGACCTTTAGAAAGAATGTTGTGTTTGATAACCACTAAGACAGAAGACTTACAGATACACAGTTGGTCTTTTAAACTCTCGGTCCAGTCAAGTAGGTTCTACTCACACTTACATTAAAAGAGAAATCCCATTTTTCATGAGCGGTTTTGCCAATAATACTCTTTATGACCAAAACAGACAAATGTGTGATCTTTTACTGGCGATGCATCTTGTCCATCATTGCAGCGATGCCAGATCTCAACAACACGAGAGATTCCATGTTATCGTCACCGATTGCAAAGGCTATTAAGTTATAATAAATCAGTTTGTTTCTTAGTTTTAAAGAAGGTGTTTATGTAAGACTAATATAACTTTCCACACACTATTGGTCTATCAGTTAAAAATCCCAAATCCCTTTTTATTTATTATACATTCACGCCAACACACGTCAGAAAGCATCGCAATGAAAAAAGGGGCAGAAATGTGCGAGTCCACCCGGGTGCAGCGCTTCCATCGCCTCAACCGACAAATACCTTCTGACTACTTTACGCCGTCTCAGAGTGAACGCCGATTATGACTTTTCCCACTGAAGACAAAAGCCAGATGTTTGCGGGTCTTAGTGGGTTTTTGTTATATCCTTCGGCAGAGCGCCGTTTCTACAGGGTTACCTAATGTTTAGCACGTCTCGAATCCTACCTTTTGCATCACTCTTGTGGTGTTGCGCCGGCCGCTTCCTCGCCGCCATCGGACCCAGCGGGTAACCGCAGTTTCTGAAGGCAAGATGGACGGAGGGATCTAGCATCCGAGAGAGAGAGAGAGAGAGAGAGAGAGAGAGAGAGAGGGTCAAAGGACCTGGCAGGCCTGAAACCAGAAGCAGAGAACCAGGCCCAAACATCCTGGAACATTTGGAGCCCAGCCCTGGTTGCAGCGCGGCAGATGCCATCAGGAATTAGTGGCGACATTGACCTGTGGGTCGGCGGAGCGAGACGACGGGAGCCCCCCCCCTCTGCCATTGGAATCATGCGTTAGCAAATTATGATCAAAGAGCAGCCTCCCTCTACATGACGGTGGCATGATATCCGTGGCGGGGCTACCGTTCCCCGGGGCGGGGCGGAGGTGAGCTCACTCAACCACCGCCGCGAACGGGGCGACCTGTCGGCAGGTTTCATGGCTCTCGAGTATAACGGCCAACGAGAGGCGACAGCGCCGGGCCCCCGCTGCCCCGTTACGGCTCGTTAAGGTACGCGGCGCGGAAAGGTTTCGCCGCTGCAGCGCGGCACGAAGACGAAGATGAAAAGAGGCAAAATCGAGTGTGGTTTTTTTTTTTCTCTCCCACCCACCTTTTAAAATTGATTTATGTCCAAACAGCAGTTGCTTGCATACTGGGGGGAAAGATTAGGGACGAGGAGACAGGAAGTGGGGTAACTGAACAAAGGAAGCTTTGCATTTGAGGCTTCTTATCTCATTAGCTTCACATTTTCAAATATTGTATTACATAAAAATGAGGTGGACAAAATAGTAAAAACGCCTGTAAGTATAATACATGTTTCAAAAGCAAAAAGAACTGCAGCCTCAAAAGGACAACACAGGTGTAAACACCTTTCTACAACTTTCCAAGTATTATCGTAGACCTATAAAGTGTACGTTATACTGTTGTACTGACCTTGACGTTTCTTCTGCCACTGCGTTGTTGACTTCATCTTCTGAGCTCTCTTGAGCATTTGAAGAGCTGTGTGGCTGTCAGTGAAGCCCCTGGAGGCCGCGAGGACACAAGGTCACACAACAAAAAACAAAAACACAATATCACACGTGTACAGAAGAAACGGTGGATCTACCATTCCTCCAGGATCTTTTCTTTTCTCTCGCTGAGACCGCTGGTCACTGAGGTTGAAGCAGTAGATTTCCTTCTGAAACCATTAAGAAATGATTAAGGGAATAAACAATATGCAGCAATTCACAAACTCCTACTTTATTAGATGACCACACACATTAATCAAGAATCCGATCTCTTGTAAATTCAATGTAAGAAACTGATTTTGGTTTTCTGTTAAATAAATCAAAGTGTGCTTTTCCTCCTTAAATCAGGGGACAGGAATTGCATTTGGCAAATGGGGTTGTGGAAGTTTTAGGATCAGTACTTTGGACAGGATTTGATGACTTAGCGCTCCTTTAAATTCAGTCATTCAAGCGTTCTCAGGGTGACTTACAGAAACCACAGATATAGACATAAATCGTCATGGTTTTCATTGTCAGGGAATGAATATATATATATAGTTTCAATTATTTTTAATCCTACTTTATTACGTACCTGCATGTACTTTGGTACAAAGTGAGAATGTGAGGATCTATTTATCGCCGTGAATGCTGGTCTACCTGCTGGAGGTCTCTGGGGAATCTCTCTGTCCAGCCGCCTCCACCCGTTCTCCGGGCAGCCAGGCCTGCCTTGGCCTCCATACCAGCGGCGATGGGAGGATGAACTTGGAGGATTCAGGAAAGCGTCCGGGAAGCTGAAAGACATCATTTATAGCTCTTATCAGTATTGAGTATTGCAGAATAGCTTGTTTTTTAATATATGTGTATATCCTGTATATAAAGTAGGCAAAGAGGCTTTTGTTTACTGGAGCAGTTGTTTACTTCTAGTTTTATTAATTTTAACGTTGCCAGAGTCAAAACTGTGTTCAGATGGCTGCAGCTCTAAACGGAAAAGTTGAGCCTTTGTCTGGACAACATGCCATGCGCAGTGGATTTTGAATAAATAGGAAAATGAAATATAGTGGATCCAATAATGTCCATTCTATGTTTTCTTTTGAGGCATTTGGCTCACGCACCTTTCACGCTCAAGGAATGCCCATATGTAAGTCAGAGTAACGGCTCGGTATCTCTGCAGAGCCCATTTTGTCTTTGTGGAAGCGCTAAATTGTTCATCGGCGCCTTTGATGTGTACCTCAGTGTGTCAACACACTGAGGCCGGCCACGCCGGCAGCTGCGCCCCTTCAGCTGGCCCAAACCGGCCACCATGATGTACAGCGCTGAGCACGCTCCAAAGAAAAGATCCAACGAGAGGTAAAGGAGGAGGAAAAAAAACGGGACGACAGTCGGCCGGCATGAAAAATGACATCTGCTGGTGCAGCGCAACCTTCAGCCCCTCCAGGAAATAATCTTGTTTTTCAAGAGACTAAATTTAAAGATCAATCAGGGAGAGTGAGACAAATCCTGGAGGGGTCGATAACCCAGATGAGAAAAGGGCCAGGGTATAACTCTTCCATTGACATCACACATGGGGCTGGTGTTTCCCAAAATTCCCTTTCAGCCCTTTTCACTAAATTAGCTCAAGGTTAGGAGCATGGACGGAAGTCCCGTTACCTTACCTTCAGAGACTCTGATGAAGGACAACGTCTGGGGGGGGAGTCTTCAGAAAACGACAAGGTCCAGGGCTTCTCCAGTGCGGCCTTAGGAAAATAAATAAATATATGTGTATATATATATATAAATATATATTTATCCATGTCACTGTATGAAAATCATCTTTGTTTTTCAGCACTGTTTTTTGTGCATGTGTGTGCTGTCATGCGTTTTAGTGTGCGGGATGTGCGGGTGTTTATGGAGACACTGTTGGGAAGCCCCGTGGGTGCATTCATAGATCTTTGTATCGCCCTCCGTGCAGGTTTTGTGCAAACCTCATCAAAGACCAAGTCCTCCAAGTACACCTCCTCGAAGGCGTCGTCCTCTGCGGCGGCGGCGGACCGCGCGACAGCAGCCAGAGCCGCTGCGAGCCTCCTCCTCAGGGCGCAGCCCCTCCAATACGCCTGGAGGTACCCGGAGAAGAGATGGTGAGAAGAAAAAGAAAAGCAAAGAAAAAAAATAAAAGACAAAGCCATGAATCACGAGGCAAACGTAAATATTGTGTGCTTTCCCATTAGAGAAATAAAACATGTTAACCTCTCTTTTAATTGCCGAGTGTTCTGCTGTCTGAACTCTGCGTGACTCCGCGCTCGGAGACAAATCTCCAGTGTGCCTCTAAATCCTCCAACTCCCAGCGGGCTGCGGGGGGCACACTTCACTCCGAGCAGGGCTGAGCAGGAATCCGAAAAACTCTTACTACCGCACTTCTTTGGAATCTAATGAATCACTCCGTACCCCCCCCACCCCAAAATGCACACACTCCGTTACACCCCCCCCACCTCCCCCCCGAGGGCCCTAAAGGACTCATCAAACACTCTCTGTGTTGAGAGGGGATTGGGGAGAAGTGTTGAGCAGCATGTTTTGCAGAACAGCAGCTTACACCCGCAAAGACGCAAAGGATTAGCTGAGTGAGCCTCCGTCGCACGTATGAGGCCTTCAGGAGGTGGAAATGATCGTTTCAGGTATTCACTGAGTTAAAAGTCAGTGAATACCTGAACTAAAACTCAACTCCAGGCTTCAGACACAATACTAGAACATTGTGTCTTAATTACACACTGATGCTGATACTGAGGCTGCCAAATTTATTTAATATTTAATTGTCTCCGCATTTGAACATTTCAGCTTCTTAAATGTGTAATTTCTTTTCTGATTAACATAGCTGTGGACTTTTGGAGGTGGACGAAACGAACAACCTAAAGAAGTCCCATTAAACTATATATATATATATATCTATATGTTTACACAGTAACAGTCAAAAGTTTAAATTTAATGAGTAAATGTGTCCAAACGTTGACTGCTTCATTTGGATTATTTCTTTCCTAACATAGCTGCCATACTACACACAAGGCAGTTCTTCATTTCACATATTTACAGCAACGGTTTCTCTTCAAAATACTCGAGTATCGGAAGGAAACTGTTTTGGTGGAAAAAAATGGCAAAAAAATGGCAAAACTGTATGTAAAAACAAAAACGTATGAAAGAAACACATTTTTCACCTGGATGACAGTTGCTGCGTGATCCGAGCCGACCACACTGCCGTTAACGTAGGACGCTCCCGGCGCTGGCTTTCCTCCATCTCCTCCTCCTCCTCCTCCTCCATCTCCTCCTCCTCCTCCTCCTCCTTTTCCTCCATCTCCTCCTCCTCCTCCATCTCCTCCTCCTCCCTTCTCGGCCGTGGAGAAGCTGCTGATGTTCCCACATTTCTGTCTATATTTCCTCCACAGCTGCTGAATCACGACTGCTGCTGTGCTGCTCCAACAAGGACACAAACAAACATACATGAAGTGAGGGATGTACATGATGTCATAGCACCTTTCGTCTTTCAGAAGAAGTGAATTTATTTCCGAGCGGACATCTGGAGAGCAGGACTCGGGGGGGGTGTTCCAGCCTGTCCAGAGCCACCCCTCATATCAAAGATCTATCGCCTTCCCCGCAGAAAGTGTGGCGTTAATGATAAAGCTGCGTGTGAGAATGAATAAGATGTTCGACGTCTCGTGCAGTAAATCACACAGAGGAGGCTCCAACGGTGACAAATGCTCTGCAGCAGAAACTAATAAAACGCTACGCCGCTATAAAAAGATCTATGGATAAATAAATAAAAGAGGGTGTTTGCTTTAGGTCAGCAGTGTCCACTTGCTTAGCGTGAAAGAATTTGGGGGTTTTCGTCACAAACAGAACGCCGGCCGATGTCACTGATCAGCTGTCGACGGTCACCTCATGGTCGGAAATACACAGAAGAAACAAACTCAAACATCAAAAATGAGACAGCACACGGCGACAAGGCAAACTTTTTTTAACAATAAGATGACTCACACCCTGCAGCAGAGCCCCCAACAGAAGAAAGCCTCAGAAACAGCCGATATCCAAGGGCAACATGAGAGGAAACACCAGAAAAGAATTTCTCTGTGTTCACATTTGTACATAAATGTCTTGCAAATAATATAATGGCTACTACTGGACTTATTGACCTTTTAAATATGCATTTTGAATATTTTGTGAGAAAAGTGATCAAGTGTATTCCACACACTGAGCACCGTGGGATCAAAGATTGTGTCCCAGCATCCGTCTAATAGCCGATGAAATCGAAATGAGAAATCAAGAAGTCAAAATATCTACCAGGCATATGGGCCGACAACCTCAGAGCCTCGGCTGACTTACTTTTGAAGGTCCAGGTCCTGATTGCTGGACTCAGGACGTCTCTCAGGTGTTGTTGGGTGTGTGTCATCCACAGCGGTGTCCCCACATTCATGGGCGACTCGCTGGTCCTCAGCCAGCTGCAGGACCTCAGTGAGGTGGCGGCAGGAGAACTTCACGGCATCCAGGGGCGACGCGGCGCTACTGTGAACATTGGCATGTTGAAAACAGAGTCCTCGGCCTTTATAGAATGTCGGATTTCCCCAAACTCCAAACCACTGCACAAACACAACAGGGGATGTTAGTTTTGAGCAAATTCTGACTTAATTTATGTTACTCTGTGGTGATCTTTGAATCTTAGCATCTTAACATCTTTGTTAAAACACCCTAGTTACATTAAAATAAAACCATTTTAACACTTTATTTAGAAAATCCCATTACAGAATCTACACAAGCAGTATTTTTGTCTCGTGGATAATTCATTACTTTGTTTTAAATCTGTGGGGTTAATTGCTGCATGACTAATTTGCAGCGTTATTCATATTGACCATTTAAAACGCAGTAATAATGATATGCTCAGTCATTTCTGAGCATACTGTTATTCATCCTCTCCGATAAAATGTTATTAATGAATTATCAGATGCTGGTGATATTTAGTCTTGATTCCTGACTAGTTCATCCTAGGTAAGGTGAATTAACTGACTGTGTGTGTGTGTGTGTGTGTGTGTGTGTGTGTGTGTGTGTGCGTGTGTGTGTGTGTGTGTGTGAGTGAGTAGCTTGCGCTCTGTGTGTGCCCTAATACCATATAATGTCTCTTTCATTGAGGGGATAAACAGACTACAAAGCCACCTCATTGGAAACTTAATTAATCTATTAGCTAAAGCTCGGCTCCCCGGCTCCCTGAGGGGGCCGGGGCGCTTCAGTGCCCAGCCGGTCTGGAGGGCCAGTAGCCTTAGGTAGTGCAGCTTCTCCTCCACAAAGACCCGGCTCTTCGGTCTCAGTGGGACAAGAGAGAGGGCAGTCGGGAGGTCCCAGAGGACTGTGACCCCGCTGACCCCTCCCCCCGTACCTGCTGGTTCACTGCAGGGTCACCGTCAGCATGGATGCCAGTGAAGTTTAAAAAAACAATCTCAAATGTTAAAGCTTTTGTACAAGATATTTTTGAGTGGGATGTGTGACGCACATAGAAAACATCCAAATCCCCTTCTTACTTTTCCCAATTCTATCTTAAGATATTTGTGGTGTTTGCCACTGCTGTTGGAGTTATATCTGCCCAAAGTGTATTCTGTTCCACTGCATCGCCCCTCAACAGGAGCAGTGAAACACAGCAAGACATTTCTTTCTCAAAGAAATACCCGCAAATCACTTACATATGAGTTTTCTCCACCATAAATGTTCCCTAGGACCTGAAGTTCCTTTATATGAACCTCTATGTTCATAAAAAGTCCATTGTGGGTGTAAAATGTCCGGCACAGAGGACCCAGCCTCCCCTCGGACCCCCTGTTGTGTTCTGTTGTGAAACCGTACCCCTGGTACACCCCATGGCTCCCCACCTGACAGCCACCAGCAGGCCGGCGTGTGGCACTCCGCGCCCCTCCAAACCTCCGTCAGACACAAGGTCGGGCCAAGGGGTTAAATGGCTGTGTGGGTCCTCGCAAAGGACTCATTGTCCAGAGGGTAGGGGGGGGGGGTTTGAATGGGAGGGACGGGTATAGAGTTAGGGGTGAAGCCAAAGGAGCGCCACGTTACCCTGTCACCCCGTCCCTCCCCCTCGAGCCATGGGAGTCCTCGGTGTGACCTGCTGGGGCGGCGGCCGCGTTTCATCTTTTGCACGGTGTAATTTGGGGGGGGATAAGCAGAATGTCGACCACCGTTTCAGGCGCTGGTGGTCCGTCTCGACACGGGAGCGCCGGGCCGCGCAGAGGCCAGGGACACCCAAGGACTTGTAAAAATAGATGGACGTTGTCTTTCGGCTCGCTGCGCCCCGTTGTGTCAGACATAACAAGAAGATGGCTGACATTCCTGACAGCTTCGTGTCTGCGTGTCCGACGGGCCGATCGGCACGAGATGAGACCTGTAATGTGACCTCGTGCTAACAGGTCGGCACTGATTCATGCGACCTGATCCGGTGTCCTCGTGCAAATGTTTCTCTGGTTTGACTCCATTTTTCTGTGTGTAATAATTCCCGTCAGGGCTCCACCTCTCGTGCTCATTGCTTTATTCTCTCTTTTTCTTTCCTCAAACGTACGGTACTGATAAATAAACAACCGTATTTTTTGTTTGACATTTGATTTTTTGGTCAAAAAAATAAATAGTTTTTACATAATTTCCCACCTTTTTTGCCATGAGGCGCTTCAGAAATCCGCTCTGAACTTTGCATCTTGGATTAGGACCCCGACAGCCCGTCAGCCTCTTACCTGAGTTCCCCGCTGTGCTGCCGCTGCAGATCCTCAGTGTGCTGCAGCTGAGCCTGACAGAACTCCAGGAAGCCGCCTGAGGGCCGCGGGGCAGCCGGGGGCCGCGGAGCGGAGTCCGTGTGCTGGCCGTCGATGGTCCTCAGGCCGGGAACCGCCCTCTGCAGAGCGGCCCTGAGAACGAGAGCCGACGCGATCAAAGCCATGTGGTCACACTTTTATTTTCAAGTCGCCGTAACATCCATAAGAAGCACAAGCAGCCTTCTCAAAATGGAGAAATGCCATTTTCAGCCAAAATTTTTATTTTTTTATTTTAATCTATTTAACTATTACAACTTGTAATACGTATTCAATCTTATTCAAATCACAAATACATCTACAGGATTATATATTTTTTGCACCACCAAACAAAACAAATTGAAATCAGCGGACTCCTCTACCTCACATTTCGGTCTTTTTAAATAACTAAACCACTGATTAGTAGTAGTATAGTATTTCTACATAAAACTACCACATTATTTAATGCAGTCTTCAGCACTTCAGTGAGTACAAAAAGCTTGGTAAGCATCAATAAACTCATGATAACACTTATCATGAGCGATGTTCTCTATGCCGGCTCCACTGCACATTTTGGACTTTATTTATTTACAGCGTTCTTGAAACTTTGAATTAACGATGATGCTCTCTAAAAGCGTGCATACGCTGCCGCTGTGGATTAGGACTTTTCCTGTGGCCTACGTTAGGTAGCATCCGCCTAAAGCTGGACGGGTCATCGGGGTGGGGGTGAGTCTGGGGGAGAGGTAACTGCCGCCTGAGGCTAAGGATGTCCAAGCAGAAGGAATCCCAACTATCGGCCAGAGAAAGCGTCTCGGAGCGTCCAGTGGTGGAGGCCAAATGTGGTCCGTGTTCAGTGGGAAAACGTGGGGCTGGAAACTCTACAGGACACCAGGGAGCAGCAACAGCAAAACCCAAACAAGTGCGAGCCTTCAGGCTACAGGGTTCATTTCTGTTTTCTACATTTGGGGGATTTTAAGATTCGATTCCCAGAGCACTGTTATTTTTGTCCTGAGCCCTTAAAGTGTGATTTTGTGAATGTTTGAGCATTTCTCTGTTTATTACATCTCTGTATGTGTCGATTACCAAGAGGCCTGTATTAGATCTGTGCCGGTAGATCCTGCTGGATTATTTAAAACAAAGCTCCATTTTACGGCAATGATCACAGATCCTTCGGAGCCCCGAATAAAGACGAAGCGGAAAGCAAAAGCATTGTATCCCGTGAGAAAAGGCGGATGGTGAAGTAAACGCCTGATTCCGATTTGGACGATGGACCCTTTTCTTCGGGCCCTTGCAGAGGATTCAAAGCGGTATAAATGGTTCATACAGAGCATGTGGAGGCTGCCACCCTGACACAAACGCAACAAAAGCACAGACTCTGCGCTCTGTCAGAGGGATCGGTGTTTTGATGTGGCCCACTTGGTCCCTCCGACACAGAGCAGGGATTAGATTCCAACCCTTCGGGCACATCGTCCGTCTGGCTGTCTTCAAAATGAAGCTCCGAACCCAAGAAGGACCTGTTGATGGTTACATGAGCTCATTGAGGAGGGGAGTGTAATTCAATTTGGGAATGGCCGCCACTTAGACACACTTGGGAAGGACGCAGAGCAGACCTACGTTCCAATAATTGGATGCCATCCACGTGGATGTTTACAATGGATTAAATAATTGGGGAGTTTTTTCTGGAAGACGGGTTCCTGTAGTCTGTACTGTTCACTAAAACATGTTACTTAAAGAGGCCACACGGTAAAGATGCTATAAATCAGCTCGCAGCTAAATCTACAGTGACTATACTTCAAACTGATCCTAAATTTATACAAATTCCATCCTTCTTTCTGAGAGCAACCCTGTTCCTGGCTCACATTCCTTCATCCTAACTCTCCAGGCTCGTATGAGCACAAGTCCGTATTTCATTTAGTGAAGACTTCCTCTGACCCACATGCTCCTGAAGTGCCGCTGATTAATCAGGCCCAGTGTTTTCTTCTTCCACGTCTCCTGGATCAGGGAGCGTAATTCTCAGCGCTTGCCTCTTGGTGCTTTAACTTAGCCGGTGTTTTCACTGGCTCGGGATGAAAGGGCCGGCGGCATGAGTGTGGAAATACAGAGGGTTAATGCCACTGTTGCCATTGGAGGTTAAGAAAAGTTCAATCAAATATTAAGGCTCAGTTAAGGCTTAAGGAAATGAAAAATGTCCACAAGTAACCCGTGTTTTGAGGTTGATTTTTGCACAGAGAATGACCAAAGATGCATGAAAATGTACAAATAAAAACAGAAACTCTCAAACAGCAGACATTATTGAACCTGCACTGGACAGATTTATATGAGCTTTTTAGCGACTGCTCAATAAAAAATAAACCTACTGGTCAGTCGTATAAAAGCCAGGAATGTTTTTCATGGGTAACTGACATTCTCTGTTATAATATTATACAATACGTCCAAGAATTCAGGCTAAGCAAAGTATATTCTTTCATATTTTGCTGTTAGTAGATGGCTGTGAGTAGCTCTGAGGAGCTAAACAACTGACATCATAGCTCATGACAGGCCAATAGATGCATGAAGGACGTGCAGTGGTCATTGCATATTTTTCATATACACTCACTGCGACTGCGGTGAAATATTCAGGCATGATAAGTGAATGAGCAAATTGACACTGAAAAGATAATTGATTTTTCTGTTGTATCAATATTTTGGGAATTAAGAGCACTTAGTGCGGCGTACGTAAGCACAGATGTCGGCGGCGCGGTAATCTAATAGCGGACGCAGATCACACTGCTAACCCCGGGAAGTGAACAGGAAGGCCTGTGTTCGGCTGGAATGTTTAGACTGCCTGAACCAGAAGACCGAATGTGTGATAACGAAATACCGGCGACATTTCGGAGCGAAAGAAGAATTTACAGAAAGAACTGCGGGAATTTCAAATAAGACGTCAAGTCGTACGTTCAAATTGGCTTAATCCAATAGCGTTGTTTGATTGGTCTTGATTGATGAGAAAACAACGAGTTGGACCCAGCAGCCAGCCGCCGTCTTACCTCCAGCCGCGCTCCTGATGGACAGGATTCCCCTGGAGGTGGAGCTCTCGCAGGAACGCACATCCCTCCAGACTGTCGCACACGTTCCGGAGCTCTGAGGGGGAAGCGGGAAAAAACAAAACTGTCCACGTCTGTTGTTCAACACTCTTCTTACGCAGGCGTACAGAGAAGGGTTGAGACATGTGAAACAATGCATTTCCATGGAGTCGTGTCACGGACGGCCAGCACAGAGCCGATCTGAATGCATGGATAAAATATAATAGACTTCTCCTGGTACGTGTAATCAATCCTCTAAAATAATATTTAAAAGCTAAAATAACACAGGTTTTACATTGGGCCACATTACATGCAGAGTAGAGGCACGTATGCCTTCATGAGGAGGAAATGGGATTTATATGGTGCGTTTAATCGAGACAATCTGTTACCTGACATGCAGTTGAATCGAAGGTCCAGACTTGCGAGGGACACAGAATCAGACATGGGGGGCAGCTGGGTAATTCTAGGGGGGGGGCAGAGGGAAAAAAAAACGCTACATCTTAAGCCAATACTCATGTCAATATTAAATTTAATATTAAATAAAAAAATGCATGTGTTACTCTGTCATTTGTGGCTTTATTATATTCAGGGCTCATGCAAAGACAGATACCAATTAGGACTGAGTCCTCTAATGTAATATTGAATCTATTAAAGGGGGAAATGTCATGCTGATTTTTACGTCCCCAGGTATTTGAGGGTTTCTACTAGAACATGTTCATATGCTTTAAACGAGCTGTATGTATGAAACAGTCTGCACATTAATATGGTAAATAAATAAACAACTAATATCCATGTGAGACATGTGAGGGCTTATGACATCTCCCTCGCTGCGTTGCAATCTGAGTTATGTTACTTATTGTGTCGTGCTACACAAGAATCCATGAAAGCGTAGCGGCGTTAAAAATAAAGAGAAGCTGAGGAATCAACCTGTTCTGGGCCACGGACAGATGCTGCATGAGGGGCAGCCAGCAGGCAGCGAGGCCCTGCAGGGACGACAGGCTGTTGTCGTCCAGGCGCAGCTCTCTGAGGAGGACCTGGTTCTTCAGGTTGGGGGGCTGATGGAAAAGAAAGAAACACAGGGTGAAGTTGTCAAAGAGCACTGGCCACACTGTGGGGTTACACTCACTTTCTGCTGTTCCGGCGGCGGCTAAATGACCCAATCCATCAACGTCAGCTGTTTCAGCCCCGCTGTGTCTGCGGCCATTAGTGTCGGCCGCGAGCCGAGCGCTGCTGCGATCAAGTGGGGCCTTGCAAAATACTTCAGTAATAAACATTTTTATAAGTATTCAGCATGTTTTCTTTTTCTCTACATCGCCTCATCAATCAACAAGCAGTGAGTTGCTCTCCCGGAGAGGGAAAGAGAGATCAGCGTCTCTCAAACTGCCACTTACAGAGCGTTGTCACGGAGGACATTTAACTGAGGGGTCTGTAGTGTTACTGATACTACATTGTTTGGTACCTTTCTTTATTAAAGCTGTGACAGAGGCATTGTGCTTATGACTCTTTTAGTTCAAATGAAGCATGTCCAAAAAAGGCAATCATTTAATAAGTAACCATGTTTGTATTCATAACACTTTTTTTTTTAAGGTTTGACACATACAACATTTTTTAATTTACTTTTTTAATTCAACCTAATCTGTCAGCATTTTAATTTTGGGTTGGTAATTTACAATAATAAAGGAAAGTTGTGATCTAATTTTGCTTCTGCATCGTGGTAACAAATGATTGTGTTATAGTGTTGATAATTAAAATTATCAAGACTATTTCTGACATATTTGTGTCAACCCCTGATGTAAAAAAAGTTAGTTTTGATATGATCATATTTTATTTATTTATTATTATATATACTGTATGTATATATATATATATTTATCACATATGCCCCTGTTGGAAGTTACATCATGGTTTTGTAATTCTGAAAAGAACAAATATTTAATTCTAATTTTTATTATATTTCTGCTATCTGGATGAGAAAAATTAAGAAAAAATTTATTAAATGTATAAAAACAAAAGTTTAAGATTGTTTGTTCTCTGCATGTGCATAAACTATTTGATCCAGAATCGGATTGTTGGGGCGGTTTGAAACCGCATATTCAGTGCAAACGGATGTCTCAACTCTTTCCACGCGAATCCCATTGAAAACCCTGAGCGCTGACATCGGAACCGGCGCCGTCTTCTTACCTCAGTGAGGCTGTTGCCTCTCAGATCCAGCGTGTTGAGCAGAGCGCTGTTCTCCAGCCCCTCCACGCTGGCCAGGTGGTTGTGGGAGCAGCTCAGGTGCAGCAGGGTGTAGACGTCCCTCAGTCCTTTGGTGCTGATCAGCTGGTTGTGGTCCACGGACAACCTCTGCAGTCTCCTCGTGGACTCCAGACCAGCTGGAGGTGGGATGACAAAGTGAGAGGCTACATTTGCGGACTAGACATGAGCTGTAAAAAATAAAGCTTCAACTTGTCAATAATAAAAAAAACTGTTATAGTAGCTTAATATACAATTCAATGCGGTTAACCTCTTGCCTGGCCAGTATTTATTTATAGCTTCAGCTTCAGTCTGTAAATCACTTTTTAATGCACGCAGTCTGGAGCTGAAAAGAGGAGAGATGCTGCTCTCTTGTGGAGGACTAGCGGTGTGCAAATACGACACAACCTCACTGTGATGACAACAATCGCTTTTCCGTTATTTTACACTTTTAAGGAAAATATTCAAAACCCCAAAGTCAACATTTCGTAAGATGCTTGAGGTATTTTCCAGTTCTCACCAATGCGGGTTATGGAGTTGTGTGACAGGTCCAGAAGGCCCAGGTTGACGGCGCCGGTTAAACCGTGGATGGACGTCAGCTTGTTGTGGCCGAGCTGAAGAACCCGTAAGCTGCTCATATTCCCACAGTCGACGTACGAGATGTCATTTTCCTGCGACAAAGCAAACCGAGACGTTAGAAAGCGGCAGAAATACGGTGATGCTAAAACACAGTGACCACGAACTGCCAAACCGAAAGCCCCAAATTGAAGACGTCCACCTGTACGTCGACGTAGCAGAGCTGTTTTAGCTGCTTGATGGCGTCCAGACATTTGAGGCCACAGCGTCGCAGGGTGAGGGCCCGCAGGCCAGCACACTGAGCGAGGGTGGATAAGCACCGGCCCGGCAGGTCCGCCAGGGTCACCGAGGTCACCTGGAAGAGAGGAAACGAGCGGCACGGGGGAGTGTCATCATTGTACCGCACATGGAGGGTTACTCATAATTCACACCGTGAGGAGAAGATCTATTAGATCTACGTACTATTGACCCCACAGCGGCAGACTAAGACTCCATCACTCCCCAATGGGACCGGGCCTGAGCAGTCGCACCAATCTCACCTCCTGCAGGGATTTCCGGCCCGCAGACCGAAGCAGAGAGTCCGGGCAGAGAGGGGGCAGGCCTCCGGACCCGGGGGCCCCTCCGGGCCCTCTCCGGCGCCGGGCCGGTCCTTCCTGCCTGCTCCTGTTCCGGAGGGAGAGCTTGGACCAGGGGACGCAGTCTTTCATCCAGGCCAGCCTCCTCTCCTCCGTGCGCTGGGGGAGGAGCGCTGCGTAGTGTGCGCTCCTCCCCGCCGAGGTCCGGCTGAAGTTCTCCTCCGGGTCCCGTCGGTGACCCGGACCCTCGCCTCCGGTACCGGTGCGACTGACTTTAGACTCTGGGTGTGAAGGAGCACTGCTGGAGGAAGAAGTCTGGTCGTAAGCTGCTCTCTGTTTGCTGTCCTCCGTCTCTTTGGGTCTTATTTCCTCTTCCTCTATGTCCTTCCCTGCCTCGAACTTCTTCCTCGTCTCCTCCCCGAGCTTCTGCTCTTTTGTTTTGGTCTCTTCTTCCATCTTGGTGTCCTCCTCGTATCCTTCACAGCCCGCCTGCTCTTCCTGCAGCTTTATTTCCTCCTCTGATTTTCTGTAACCCTCCTGGTCCTCTTCTTCCGTCCATTCCTTCAGCCTTCTCCTACGTTCATCCTCTTTTGGTTTCCTCTCGTCTTTCCTTTGCCTCTTCTCGTCCTCCTGGATGGGTTTTGGTTCTTCTTCTTTTTTTCCATCTCCCTCTTCCTTTATTCTTATCATTTCTGTCAGCTCCTTCTGCTCCGCAACGTATTTTGTTTCCTTCTCCTCCCTTCTTTCTCTGTCCGACTCTTCCTTTGTTTTCCTCTCCCTAAGTTTCAGTGATTGATCTAGATTTTCATGCTCCTTTTCATCCCTACTACTCCTCTCTTCCTTTATTTTTATGAAAGCCTCCTCTTTCTTTCCCCTTATCTCTTCCTGCTTCTTCCTCTCCTCTATCTTCTTAGGATTTCCAACCTCTTCCTCCCATTCTCCTATTTTCCTCCCCTTGTTTTATTCTCCTCCCTCCCTTCTGTCTTATATCTTCCTTCTTTTTGTGCCTTTTCTTTCTCCACCTTCTTCTTTTCTTTCCTCCTCCCTTTTCCTCTCCTCCTCCCTGGCTACCCGTTTCCTCTCTACTTCCTCCTTCACCATTCTCATCTTATCCTCTCTCCTTCTTCTTTCTTTCCTCCTCCCTTTTCCTCTCCTCCTCCTTTTCCTTCTGTTTCCTTTCTTTCTCCTTCACCATTCTCCTCTCATCCTCCAGCCTCAACTCCTTCCTTTTTCTTTCATCTTCTCTCTTTCTCTTTTCCTCCCTCTCCACTCTCACCTTTTCTTCCTCCTTGCGTTTTCTGTCCTCTTCTTCAAGTTTCCTCTCCTCTTCCTCTTTCTTCCTCCTCATCTGTGCCTCCATCATCCTCTGCTGCTCCTCTTCCTTCTTCCTCCTCGCTTCCCCCACTTGTCTCTGCAAACTGCTGATCAGTTGCTAAAGGGTAAAGAAAGCCACCAAAGTCACGACAAAGCAAAGATGGCGATAAGTCGAGATTGCTAACTGATGCGGGTTGATAAACTCCTCGGTCAGGGAGAGAAAGAACTTCAGTGGTTTCTCTGCAGGCTGAACAAGAAGATTCAGGCTCACCTGCTGCAGCAGCAACTCCTGTTGGAGTTTCTCCTGCGCTCTCCTCCCCATCAGCTCAAGCGCCTTCTGCTGCAGCTGCACACAGTGGGAGAGCAATCACCACGATGATTATGACGTTTTACGGTTTACCAACACTTATTGAGTAAAGGAAGTCCAGGCGGACTCACCTTCTCTGCCTCCATTAACTTCCTCAGCTCCGTCTGGAAGTCTCTTTCTATTTGACTTTTTCGCTCCTCCTCTTTCACCTCTTCTGCCTTGTATTCCAAATGCTTCTCCTTCTCTTCATATTCATCTGTGACAAGTACAAATACAGTATGGCTAATGGGTAGGAGGTGCAATATGTGTATTGTTATATTGAACATTGTTTTCATTTGCTTAATTATCTTATTTTATTTTTTTTATTCTTTATGTCAGCGACGTTTGCAGTGCTTGGCCTCCTTTTGTATTTCCTCTTAGTGTTTATTGTAAAGACAAGAGCTAAATTCCTTGCAAGACAATAACCCACTTTTGAATAAAGCGTAACCTAATTCTGGAAACAAATTGCCTAATAAATATTCAACTTGGGCCAGTCAGTGGGACTACATTGAACTTCTTCCGCATTTTGTTATATTATATTGTATATTAAACTGGTGATGATGTATTTAGACTTTTAGCGAGAGCATTTCCATCGGCTCAAACACTAATTATCTGTTCACAAAGTGGGATTATGCACATCTTCCTCATTACTCAACCTCACTAAAGTGGTTAATGAGAAAACAAGTCAACAGGGCCCTCTAGTGGTCAGCTGTTGTACGGCCGTCAGACCTTCAGCAACGTTTAGCAGTGCATTGAAAACACAAACAGGAATAAGATGTCATTCAGAAACTCTAACATTTACCACCTGATGCCATCTTTGTTCACGTTTGCATTTGAGTCCACTTACATGGCCTCTTATCTCCTCTCATAGACACTGTGTGATACACAAACCCTTTCAAATCCGTCTGCGTGTGTTACATTAACACCTCCAATTGATATTACATTATCACATTACATTACAGGTCATTTAGCTGACGCTTTTATCCAAAGCGACTTACATTGCATTTTTAACCCATGGCGTTTTTACATTGTTGCCCAGGGAGCAATTAGGGGTTAGGTGTCTTGCTCAGGGACACTTCGACATGGGACATGGAGCAGCCGGGGCTCGAACCATTCTTTTCACACTTGTTTTCACACACTGGATTAAAAGCTCTTTGATTATATTTCAGATGAATTCTAAATAAATATAAAGTCGTATTTTTTTTTTACTGTGACATTTTTGCAATACTTTTTTCTGTTTTCAATATTTCTTTATTTCAACATAAGACTTTTAGATATTTTATGTTATACACAAATAAACAGAAATTCCCCTTATTGCCTAGTTGGCAATAAACAAGTTTAGATTGGGTTTGGAACTCCAATAGGTTCACACAGTAATTGTCAAAACAATATTGTTTTTAATGAATCGTTCTTTGTTGTGTTGCCCAGAATATTTAGGCTTCACGTGGGAAATATGCATACAAAAAATGTTTATTTTTCTCCGTCTGGCATGTCTTGAATAAAACAGGGTTTCACCATGAACATGTTTTTTTAATCCACAAAGATGTACTTTTGAAGGGCATTTACACTATATGATATTTCCAAAGGTGTACCTTCATCGCTGGGACACACTGACTCCCTGTGAGGGGAAAGTGCTTCTGTGGCTGCAGGAAGGAGGCGGGCGTCGGTGCAGGCGTGCTCCTCCTCGTCGGCCTGTATCAGGGACAGCACGACTTGAGGTCGTTTTTCCACAACTATTCGTGATGTGACGTGGAGTCAGAGGCTCGAGACCTGATTGTAAAGAGACGTGTTTACCTGCTCATTCTGTGTCTTTTCCTCATGGAGTTCAAAGGTCGTGTCCTCGGTGGCATGTGACGCCGGGACATCTGGGATGCAATTCACAGAAAACACAAGCGGGCTCAGCTAACCATCATTTTAACATCTGCTTTATTGTAAATATCTTAAACCACAGAATAGTTGACTGTTAAAAACGTGCCAGGTTGGTAAACAAGAGAAGAAGAATCCTGCAGTATGTGTTCAACAAGATGTCACACCTTCAAGGTCCTCCAGGATGACTTTCTCACAAACTGCTGCTCTGCTTTTGGAGGTTTCCAAGTAGCTGAGCAGGGATCGGGGAATGTCATCAGAGTCCTGTTGTGAGAAAAGTGGTTTGTGTTAGTCGTTGTGGTAACAACATCCAAACGTGTGTTTTTACTAAGTGTGACAAGAAGAGAATAATAATCCAGAGGTTCTTTACATTAATAAATATAATACAACATGCACACTACATAAGGCATGATGGTGTAAAGAGGCAGGATTTACAAGTTGTTTGATATTTATTATCATTATTATGGTTTACATTTGGCAGGAGCTAACTATTAGCTTACACAGAGCGCTAGCTGCTAACTACTTTTATCTTGCTGTGCACTTGACTAGAGTTAATTCGGAAGTGTTCACCAATAATCGGAGGTGTTGACGTGCTTACCGTCTCTCCGGGGAACCAAAAGCTCTGCTGCTCCTCTTTGGCGTCTTCAGGCTCACACGTGACTCGATCATTTAACGTTACCTCGCGCATAATTGTGTCGAACGTTTCATTAGCATCCATCTCAAAACGTCCGTTTTTAACGTTCACATTTACATTTATTCAACATATGTCGACAAAAAAGATGTTACCTGAAGTTGTCATTGCTTGTTAATTTAACATTTGCTAGAAGACGGAACAAGTCGACAAGGTCCATTCGCGTCCAGCCGATACTTTGGTAACCATGGAAACAACGCGCTGGAACTATGGAAGCTCGAGAGGGACAAACTGTGCGAAAGGCAAATAGAAATAGTCCTCCCTTGTGCTTGTCTTTACATTTATTCCTATTCATTGCTACCTTTAACGAATAGAAAGTGAGAACATAAGTCAATGAGATGGAAAAAAGATAAGAATTCTGAATAATTCATTATTTATTAATTAGAGGGATTATGCATAATGAAATAGCACAGAGAAATAAATGAATGACAGAGGGGTCACTTATGTAGCAGAACATAAATCACCCCCCACAGTTGTTGCTTCGCACTTCAGGATAATTAGATGCAGATCCGTCCTCTGCCAAATTGATAGTTTGCATTTGCATTCTAGTCTGCATTGTTTAGTTCTATACTATACGTAAACACTGTAGTCTTTAGGCCAACACTTTCTTAATTGACCAATCTCACACAGAAACAGTCTGATCCTTACAAATAAAACAATGTAATGTCTATACTGCTCCGACATTTAGTTTTTTGCCAACTTGCTGACTGTTTACACTTACACAATAACCAACATTGGGACAGCAAAGCGGTTTGTTCGCAGAACTAATTGGTAAATGAAATGCAGAGTCGTGGACTCGTGGGCATCGTGGGCATCCAGCTACAAGGGGTCAGTGAGCCTGAGACCTTGTAGGTGAATCACGGGACCAGGAGAACAAAAAATATGTCTGGCTGGAAACAATGTGCACTTTTCCACAGAATTTCTGATCACAAAGACCAGTTCCTCTCTCCCGCGGCGAGCTCCCTGCACTCGTGCTCCACTCCTTCTCTTTGAGCAGATTCCAGCGGCCCACACAGGTTTTCCCATACACATTCCTCAGGGCTTTCTAAAAGGAACCCAGTCTCCTTCCTCAAACTATCAAAGAAGAACAGCATGTCCTCTATCCCAAACGGTCTGCTCCGGAGACACACCGAGGCCTGTTCTCCTCCGTCGTGGCTTTCCAGGACGAAAACAAAGCAACCGAATGGCGCCACATCAGTCCAAAAATTTCCTTCAAAGCCCGAAACTGAATTCCACAATGACGATGAAAGGGACTAAATGTACAACACCTATGTGGCCCCGCGGGGTCAACACCATCACAATCTTCTCAGGTCCGACGCCGACATGCTTTCACGAAGGTCATCGCGGGTCAGCGCACAACTTCAGTTCTGTGACGGACGCTGCTGGAGTCAAAGTGGCCGCTGCTTATGTTTCATTAGGTCCTCTAAGATCCATTGACCAAGTTCAATTGCTCAAAAAGGCTCCATCAGCAAGCCTTGTCCACTCCGATTAGGGCCCGGCCCTTTGTCAGTGGGCAAGGTGTCCGTCGCTTTTGTCCCAGTGCACGGAACCCAGACAGCAGTCAGACATGGCCGAGCTGCGGATTAACGCGGCAGATTACGCCAGTCAATGGCGGCTCCGGCCCAAACGCCGCGGCGGTTTGGATAGCGGCCTCGTGTTTACACTGTCGAGGGTTTTCTGTTACTCGTCTGTTGCCATTATCTTGGCAGCCGTTGGGGCCATCAAGCCTATCGTTTCCATCTGGGGGGGCTTTGACGAAGGAAGCGATTAGAGGGAAAAAAGAAAGGAAAAAAAGTCACCACCACCGCGAGCTGCCCGTTAGCATCCTGTCACTGCCGCCTTCAAGGAAAAGGTCGCAAGTCACAGATTTATCAATTTCAAGATGTTAACAATCACCAAAGCCGATTACGGGACCCTTGGGCTCAGAAATGTAGAGGGGCCCCACCCCTTCTAAGACACAGAGATTTAAAGACTTCTGGTAGTTTCATACGTATTTAAATCATACGTAATTTCTCTGTGATAGTTTTGCATTTCTTTATTCACCAGTTTTATGTCTCTGCATTACTTCTCAACTTGATATGTTAGAAATAACTTAAAGCAGAAGTCATGGGCGTCTCTTGGTTTGTACCCAGGAGACCTGTTCATTAATCCATTCATATTAACAAATGCGTGATAATAATTTGCTCACCATCAATCACTGAAACCTAAAATGAAATTACCTTCCAGAAATAAAAAAATGTCCATGAACTCAAGCTGGCAAATGATTCTTCTCAATGAGTTGAGCCAGATTAAAGGCCACTGAGAGTGAGGCACCTTGTATGTGGACCTGATGGTAGTTCAAACATATTAGGCGCATGCTGAGGGGGAAATATTCAAGCTAACTAATCCTGCACGAAAGCTGCTGTAAGCCTAATCTCTTTTATGTTGCATTATTGTGGTTATCTTCTGTCAAATCAAATCTTAGCTTGCACTGCACAACCAACCTTCTTCTTGCAGGCTCTGCTTGCAAAACGTTGTCTTAGATTTGTGAAGTTCAACCGGTTCATCCTCAACAACCTCCTAAAGGAGATTACCCCCCCCCTCAGTGTGACGGCTGTGAATCGGTCGGATTGGACCACCGTTACGCTGCCAGTGTGCCCTAATACGTATAAATCTGCTTCAAATGACGGTGGAATAACTGGAATCAGACCCCCCCCCCCACACACACACACACACACACATAGACACACAAGCTGGGGGCTGTGAGTATCCTGCTGCAGGTTCAATGACTGCGTGTTGTGTTCAAGGTTTAATCAACGTTCTCGAGGTCTTATCTGCACACTTGCTCACGTCTTTCTCTGCAGAACAGTTACACGCTGAGAACAGAATTTGCCTGCAGGACTATCAATGGTAACACAGACAACCGGGGGGGAGTTCAGTGTAAGCTCTTTTGTGCACTTCACTGAAGACTGTACATGTATTCAGGGCTCAGCAAGGAGGATTTCCCACTTCCACGTGACAAGACAAATGTCACATCTGGCCAATAAATCCAGAAACTCACTCGCTCGAACCAGGTGAAAGGTGTTTTCAGTGTGAGCCTTATTGTATATCCTGTTGTGTTTTATTGTACTGCACTACACTGCGGTTTTTCAAATGTGCTCTTTACCCTCTGGTCAAGAAGGAGTTTAGGAGCTGAAGTGCATTTTCAATGACCCTGCAAACAGGAGTTCATGTGACAGGTGATGAGGGTCAAACACAGTAAGATGAGTCTTTGTTGTTATGGAACCACTTATAGATAACAACAATTTCTAATTTAATTCAGTGATGTAGCTTCTTTCACAAAACAAACAGAACCGTTTGAGCTTTGCTCACTTTTTGTAGTATGTGGTAGTATGAGGTGTTTGTAAAGGCGAAGGAACTACTGACTCTGGAGTATATAAGTATATAAATCAATGCACAGGTCATATGACAGAGGGCAGAGCCGTTTGTTCGACCTTTATAATAATACTCTGTAACAAGGTTTCACCTGTGTGCACCCAAACTAATGGATCCTCCAAACGACGATACCGTCCTCTAAGAACATTTTGTGCGATTGGCTGTCGGGCTTTCCAATTCTAAGCGTTTATATCCCTCTGTATAATCATACAATTCACCACATTCTCTCGCGATAACATTGTGACTCCCACTCGTTTTGTCTGAATTATTGATATTTAAATTGTAAACGAGTCGGAGCTCATTTGCAAATTACAAAAAATTCTGTCATGAAAAACAGTGTTAGTTTAGGCGTTAGGCTGCTTAGAATTGGTCAAGTGAGACGTACATTCCTTCACAACCGCCGCCGATCACCGGTGTTTGAGTAGGAAGTCTCAAAGGGTTTTGCAATCATGGTAGTGAGTAAAGTCACAAGCAATAGTGCTTCCTGAGCCACCAGCGGGGGCATAGACGTTGGGTCATCACCAGACACAACAGCAAAGCTGCTGGTGTTGCTTTCTTCTCCGTCGTGTGAGTCACTGGTCTGGTTGTTCATATTTCGGTGGACAGATTTTGTCACCGTCATCGCTCTGCAACCGTACAATATGCATGCATGGAACAGACACGCAAAGGCCCGGCAGCAGCAGAGCTGGGGCGAAAGATGAAGATACGGCTGCCACAGACCGGAACAGGGGGTGCCCGCAGATCTGTGGTCAGTTCTTCAACATTTTCTAAAAAGGGACGGATTGGGAGAGAGAAAACCCATCCTCCAGTAACCCGGAGTTAAAATAAAAAAAAAAACTGGAACGCTTTGACTGAGACGAGACACAACATGGGGCGGGGGGGCGATAAGCGTTGGTCGCCATCGAGTGTTCCATTCTCATTTCGCCCATCAGCACTTCTCATGGCCTCAACTCTTGTCTTCGCTTGAAAAGAAAACACAGAGCAGAATCAAGGCTGTCAGGGTGGACGTCACCACCGACTGTTTTCTTTTGTTTTATCAGAGCGCGTTTGAGCTGCAGAGTCCCTTTTATATCACACAGGCCTTTTTTCTGTTTGTTTTCCAAAGCATGAAATGCATGTTGTTTTCCCTCGGCGAAAAGGGATCTTTTCAAGACAATAGCACATATTCAAGGTCTGTAAGTTTAAGAGTTTGTGATGTTATAAATAGTTCATCTAAATATACTTACATCATAGGATTGGATAACAGTTGCCGGATGTTGCCTCTTAATGTGGGTGTGAATAACAAGGCCTTTGGCTTTCTCGTCTTAAGCTTTACTGGCATTTCATTACTTCCAAATGCCACCTTTAAAAGCAGTGAAGTACCTCTCCCTCACTTGCAATGTAGAGATAGTTGTTAACTTAGTTTGACAATAAAATAATGTTAAGGAGCCACCCTCCCTGAGTCTCCCCCCAAGAAACACAGCACCCCTTGGATGCTCCAAGGTAGATCAAATATAATAGCGTGTCTTCTAGGATACTTTCTAGTGGACAGAACGAGATAAAGTGTCTTCTATGGTCCTATCTAGTGGAAAAAACTAGATAAAATGTCTTTTGGGGTAACTTCTAAGTGGACAAAACAAAATAAGTGTCACAAAACAAAAAAACCACATGATGGTGAAATCTTTGATTGACCCCTTGATGCTGGCGCTGGGTGATTCCTATTGGCTGCGAGACTCTGCGACACAGTGAAAACTAATATGCACTAACTTTCCATCAGAGGTCCAGCAGGGCTCAGCTCGTGTTACCAAAGTCAGCATTGGCTCATGAAGTA